CAAAACATCATATTTAAAAAAAAAAAACCAAAACTTTACCCAAATCGCAAAGAATAGTTTGGTTATCAATGTCTAGTTAAGGACAGGTTAGCTACTGCCATTTTAAAAATATTAATGGACAAATGTAATTGAATATACACAGCAAAAGAATTGTGGGCAAAAAAGCATGTTTTTGTTTTTAAATGACCCTGTTCTTTTAATGTTCACGTTATTCTGTTGCAACCATTAAAGTTGAAAACAATCATAAATGACAATCTTCTGAAGTGGTACGGGCCTTTTGGATGCTACAGCTGTAAGACTTCAGTAGTATTCTGCTGAAGCTTTAAGAATGACAAGCGGATGATTCCAGAGCCCAGCCTTCCTATATGGATGTTCTTTATTTCCCCTCTTGCCCTGTCTTCAATCTTGAAACCACAATTACTCCAAGTGTGTGGGGGAATCGTGGAGAGAGCTGAGTGCCTGGAACAGGAGCTCCTGGCTGGAGTGGGAGGACAGTGGCACCTGGAGCCTTGTGAGAGGGAACCCGTGTGTCCGCTGTTTGGTGGCAGAGGGGACGATAGGAAGAAAAGGACTGCCTGTCGGCTGGACTTCTGGCGTAGCAGTGTTTTTGCACTAAGCTAGAAACACTTAGGTATCTTATTGCCAGTTGCAAGCTACAATTGACAGCACCAGTTTAAATCCAAACAACAAACCGCTACTTACCTTAGTGAATCATTTTAGTGAAAGCTGTATCAAGGCTGAGGATTTTGCTTAAAGATGGGATAGAGACAAAGCTCTGAAAGCTTGTCAGCTGGATTAAGCAAACAAGAAACCTACTGAAGCTACTTTAAAGTGTAGTAAGACATAGTTGTATTTGTTACTGGAGTAACTCATTGCTGTTGTGGTTAATTCATTAAATCTTTGCCACCTTCCCATTGATTTGTCTGCAAAATACTGTAGTTAATCACAACTAGTAAATTATATTATGCATAACTGCATGCATACTAAATTATAGTGGGATTTTTTTCTTCTCTTAAACTGTTGATTTAAGACTGTCTGTGTGGCCTTAGTACACAGTTTATAAGCAGTGAATCTTGTGGATTTACATAAGCTCCTGTGCGAATGGTCACGTTGAGTTGCGTAGTCAGTCTTAGCTAAGCGCTGTTAGCCATAACACTGTGCAACAGGGATCATCAACATGCTGCATTAATTAGAAAGCAGAAGCCAAAGAAAGGAAAAGGAGAGGTACATGAGAAAGCTAATTCTTTATGTACTTCTAGTAATTGGCTGTATACTGTGGCAAAAATATTCAGTGGGAAAAATGGACAAAGCCTAGTAAAAAAAAAAAAGCAGGTGTCATTGAGAGGTGATAGTCTTGTTATCTGTAACAGCTGAATTAAGCTCATGTGAATATTCATCTTGATGTGTCTCTTCTACCTGATAAGGCTCTTCAGTACCCTGTTTGGGCTTACAGGCAGCCCTTTACTTCAATTGCAGTTTATTTTGCTAAAGCAGTTCCACATCATGGGAAAAAAAATTACTATGTGTGACTATGACGCTACAGTAGCCCTTTGCACATATGACCTTACTAATACACTGCAGAAGTCTGTCTTTGTAAGATTTCAGACAGGAAAGATAAGAAGCGGTGATGGTGGGGCTAACGTATGGCATCTGTAGTGATGGTAAGGCAAAGTGGCTAAAACCGATGAGGTGGGATGGTTGTTGATCTGGAAAAAAGATTCTTTATCCATGTGTGCATGTGTGTATGCATACAGTATGACAGTTCAGCTTGGAAGTTTGCCCTCCCAGCGTAGGGCATGTCAGCTTCTTTTAAAGGGTCTGGATAACTGCTACTTAAATACCAGTGTCAGACCATCCTTCAGAAGACCGGCTTGTTCTTTCTGTCAAGAGTGACGAGCATTCATCCTGCAGTTAACTAAAGTTAAGCAGAGCTTCCGTAAATCTGTGAATCTTCTAAAAAAGCAACATTATAAATAAAACTTATTTGGAAGTAAGTTATAAGTAGTGGGGTTTGAATTTAAATACCTGAGCTAGTTCCATACTGACCAGCTGCATAGTCATATTTGTGTAATGTTTGGACTTTCTTTGCTTTTAATAGTTGATTTTGATGTGTTAAAGGAACATTAAACAAAGTTTTCATTTTTTCTGGGAGTTATACTGCTAAAGACCCTTTAAGAAGTGTGACGTTAGGGGAAATTTTGTTTACAGTCAGTCTAAAGGGAACCATGCTGATGATTAGATCCCTTTGAATGTCTCCAAATCTGTAAGACAATAAACACTCATCTGAAGCATACAAGAATTGGGCCAGTATCTGTTGTACTTACTGCAGTGTACTGAGTTGTGCAAGTTTTAAGAAATCCTATTAAAATACCAAATGAGATTTGAATCTCTGTAGCCATATGCTAAATTGCAAAACTAGAGTGTAGGACAAAAGGTCACTGTTTTATCTATTAGAGTTATAGAACTTTCTTTGTTAATTATGCATCCATCCAACTCTGAATATGCATCCTGCCATCTAGTTTAATTAAGTTTTGTTAAGTCATTTAGAGTGCTTATCCCATATTTAGAACTTAAACTTTTTTGAATAATGCCATTAAGCATACTGGTTTTTTGACAAAAAAAGACCACGTTAAATGTTATCTTCCATGTGCGTATCTTCCTGTTGCTTGTATTGCTCTGCAGTTTTAAAATGTATTTCTGAGGGCATGAATACGAGGAATCTTCTTTGTGTCTTGAAATGTAGATGTATAATGAGAGCTCACATCTTTTTTAGTTAATTGACAGGTTTTTTTGGCTTGTTGTCCCTCTCCTTGTCTCCCTCTTCCCCACCCCCCAAGTAGTTTATCTACTGTATTTACTTACTATGAGTTAACAAAATGTTCTGCTCAGCTGTGGCCAAGATTTTTTTTTTTATTTATTTACTGTAGCACCATTCTTCAGCATTTTAGCTGTGTGGATTGTATGGTTAATATCATCTAATAAAGCACTTTTTCAGCTTAAAGAGAATTGAATCAATTGCAATCCAGTTTTTGAACTGCAGAACTTTAATTAAAACACGTAAGTATGTAGACAAGTGTAATTTTCTCCAGCCTCAAACACCAAGAAAAAAGCCAGTATAGCTTCTCCATCTCTTGCTAAGAAACTTTAGCTAGGAAGAAAACAGAATTTCATCTCAACGTTTCCTTAAACTTATAATAAAGCAGGAAGAATTAAATTATTCTGATGACCACAATTTACATCTTTGAAACAGTCTCCCCTTAGAGCTATGATTTTGCCTTTGGGCAGTCTGATGTCTTGCTCTCAGAAAAGAACCGAAGCTGCTTTATGTCGGGGCCTTATTTTATATACTTTTTCATTGTTTATAGGATTTTTAAAACTTTTTTTGTGAGGAAGTTGATTTTTCTGAATCACATGCCTAAGATGGAAAGATGAAATCTAAATAGTCCCTTTAGAGAAATAAGAGCTGTAGGCAAGCTTTCCCTGTCGTCCATATTAAAAGCTAAAAAAGGTCTCTCTGCAAATATGGTGTTCGATCTCTGCTTGTTTTCTAAATGTCAAACTGCAAGACGAGTTTATTTAAATACTTTCTTAGTGTTACTTGTTGACATAGCAGTTGTCTGAGTTCCCGTCAGCGTGTCATTTGATCACTGGTAGGAAAGGCGTAAATTAGACAACAGAAAAAGAAAAGTTGAGAACCTTAGAGCTGGAACAGTTTTGGTGGCCTATAAATACTTGTTGTCATCGGTTTCACACTCTTGGGACTTGGCTGAAACATGCTTTCCATATTGAACTAGACTAGATTGAATTAAATTTATATAATCTTTGTTGACTGCATTGCAGTATTGTGAAGGTCCAAAACTGTTGTACCTCAGTTCAGTTAGGTTTTTACTACCTTGCTTTTTAGATTACCCTGCATATATGTGTATATATGTGTACATGCACACATCTATCTAGATCAATGGATCAAGTGGGTATGTATATATATGTGTATATGAATGCACTTACACTGTAACCTATATTGGCACAATAACCTTAATCTTGCTGCTTTTTTCATACTCCTGGTGAATCCGTCAGCACAGGTGAAGTTTTGCCTGCTGCGTTATTTAAGTCGTCAGCCCCAAAATCCCACCAGCCCCACAGATGCTCTTGTGGCTGACATTAGCTGCACACGGGCTTTCCAAACAACCCTTGTCTCTCCCCACTGCCAAAGTCCTGCCTGCTAAGCCAAATCTCTTCTAGGAACGTGATAATGCCTGCATGGAGAAAATGTTAATCCGGGATGTCTCTTTTTATATATTAAATTTCCTGATTTTTAAAGCAGAATTGTATTTAGATATTTCAAAGAATTGTTTGAATGCTCATGATTTCTGTGGTAAAAATTGTTGGAGGTAGTAATCAGTTCCTTACATTTCCCTCCCTTTTATTTAAAAGGAAGAGTAAAAGTAAACTTGCACCAAGTATTTGGTGCATTTGCTGACCCATGTGTGACTTGACTGGAGCAACTTTTGGTCTTGCAGCTCCTTTGATCTAGGGAAGAAATAGTGTTGCTTGGCTGTGGAAGATTACACATTTAGTTGTGTAAAAGAAGGTTGTATTCATCTTTCCCTCTTCTGTTGCAAAGCCTGCATTTTTTTTTGGAAGTAATGGAGATTTTCACGGGCGGGGAGATCTCAAGAAACAGAAGTGCACAAAATGAGAATAGAGAAGAAAAAGAAAGGACACTTTAAAAGATGGCAATTGCATCTGAAATGAGATATGAGTAACGGTATTTGAAAGAGAAGTGCTCTAATTGTGGCTAAACTGGACTACTAGCCTACAATATAACTTGATAGCAATATGCTTTTAAAAAATAAAGATACTTTTTATTTCATCAAGCAAAACTTATATCTAGTTGAAATGTATCAAGCTTTGTAGAAACTACAAATATTGCTTTGGAGACTTAAAGTTGTACGAATATCATATTAATTATTCCTTTTCCATGTGTTCTTGTTTACAGACCAGTCTTTCCATATGGGGATGGGGAAGTCTTGGTGTTGTGCTTTTTCTAGTAACTTTTGGACCCTTCGCTATATTTTACTTTGCATTTTATATCCTCTGCTTTGTGGGTGGGTAAGTATACTACTTGGTGATTTGTATAATTTACTATGAAAGTAAAATTTTAATGTATATATTAGCAAATAGTTTGCTCTGAAAATTTGAAGTGACTTCTATGTAATTAATATTTCCACATTTGAGCAGCTCTTTATGAGCCAAGGTTGTTTTCTTGAAATCTCAATTTTATCAAAAGTAATTTTTTTTGCTATTGAATAGTGCTTATAGTATCTTTGCCCAGTCAAAAAAAAATTTCTGATTTAAAAAAAAAAAAACCAAAAACAAACAAGCAGCTATTTATAACGGGAGTTGGAGGACAAATAAATAAAACCAATGTTAACTTCAGTTCATACCATGTCGGTTCTTTTCCCAGGTACTTACTAAGTAATTATGTCCCCTTTCCTTATCACAATCTTATTTTCCTACCTAAGATACTTCATTCATGAGGAAAGTGAGTGGGTGTTTTCCTGGGTGTGTAGAAATGATGCTACGTCTTGCTATATCTTAAACAAGTAGATCAGTTCAGGAGCTGTAGACGTTTCCTACTTTATCTATAGACAGGAAGGGACCAAACAGGTGATGGTTTTATAGCCTTTAGCACCATTATTACATTGTATATTATAATGTCTGCCTTGTAACCATTAAAACTTCTATTTTTAATGCCAAGTCTAAATGTATTAGTGGGATATTCCTCCTTCCTCTCACTTGTAAGACTAATCTGCAGGACAGTAACATTTCTAGGCTCTCCAAGACCTGCTTGACTTCTAATGGAGTGTTTGGGCTGTCTTTAATATTTTTTTTCCCTTCCTTTGAAACACCCTTTTAACCTGTTTATTGGATACAGTACAGAATGTATGTATATTCCTGTATGTCTAATGAAAAAATGTAATAGAGTTTAGTGTCTTGAATTAGTGCTGCTATGCTTGGGTTTCAACTGTATTAAACTTGGAATTCCATCTCTGAGAAATCAGAATAGTCAGTCTACTAGAGTGAGGATTTAGTTAAGTAAAACTAACTTTTAAGTAAATGCTTTTGTCTTATTAAGTCTTAATACATGTATAACTGGCACATTTTGCTGGCTGCTTGTCCAGGGCAAAAGGCAAAGAGCTTGTCCAAAGGGCAAGAGTTTGTCCATTTACTGCTTTGTATTACCACTTCCTTAGTATTTGCAGTATGAAAAATAATATGGGATATAATAATTTCTTAAAAGCTTACGCTTCCTTCTTGCTCAATTTCAGTTGCTTGGCATTTCAAAGCTAACAGTAAAAGCAGTCTCTCATGAAGTGTGTCTGAAGGCAGCTACAGTTTGCCATCGTGAGACTGCCTCCTTCTCAAGTCAGCTCTGATATCTCTTTGCTGTGGCTCTTTTGCTGCTTTGGTTCATTTTTGTAGCTAGTGAGCGAACATTGATCTTCTTAAGAATAAATTCATCTTGTAGTAGTGTATCTGTTAAAGCAGAATTTGTATCCTTCTTCCTATTATGTGTTTACTTATGTAGATACATATGAAGTGTCAGCCCTTCCAGTAGAATGTCATTACTTCATTGCTTTAACATACATATCTTCTTGGCTAAGGCTGTGATCTGGCCCTTTTTTACACTGTTAATCTTTTTCAAAGTGACACACCTACTTTAAATTTTAACATTCAGCATACAGATCCGTCAGTGCTAACTAGGTCAAGTAGATTTATGTCTAAATTATTCTTGCCTGCTTTTTCTTTATGAATTAATTCCTGTGAAGTTACACAAAATTTTTGGTCCTGTTTCTCTTAGAAACAAACAGAAATTAATGTTACGAAGTAACTTTTTTACTTAGGATTAGCAATTATATATCATAACATCGTTTACATAAATAAAGAAAACAAAAATCTAATTTTGTTTCATGATTATATTAGTTTCCTTAATACTTACCGTACCCTTATCTGGAGCAAAATAACAGTTTTGGACATGGATTTTTATCGTAGAATTTTATGTTGAACCTTGGCGTTCTTATCCAATTTGGCATGTAGTTTTCTAACTTTTTATACTTGCTCAAAAACAGTGGCCTGTATCAATAGCTTCTGACTGCCACTGGCTGGGAGTCCACTTCTGACCTAAATATTTAAAGTATATGCTGGTGAGTTGTGAAGGAAAGCAATGTTGATGACATACTGTATCAACATAATCAATCTGTTTATATGGTTTCAATTCTGTTATGTGCTATCTAATTATTTCTTTTTGATTTACTCTTAGCTGTGTGTTTCCTCTTACACAGATAGCTTGTAGTAAGTGTACTGTTGTTGTGTGCATGGAAGATAACTGAAACCATTAGTGTGTATGGTTTCAGTGTATAAATCAATTAAATCAAAAGTTGTCTTTGTTTGTTTTGTTTTGTTTCAAGAGTGATTTATAAAATGTTAGCTTTTTTTTGTTTTGTAGTACATGCCTCTTCAATTCAGCATCTGGTAACACATCGCTTAGGGAACTGGGCTCTTTCCACCAAACGCAGGAGGCAAAATTGTTTCTTTAGCCTGTGTAGCCAACACTATTACAAGGTGTTAATCTTCATGAAATATTTTTTGTCTCTACTTTAAGAATTGGTGCAAACCCCTTAACCTGAGCACTGGGCGTGTCTTACCATCTGCCTTTTCTTTGTACCAAGTATGTTTCTTACCTTACTCTCTCTCCTTCCCTCTTTCAATCCTAAGGAAGTAAAATAAAAATAATGTGAATTGCAGCTCTGCCAAAAGCCTTAGGCTTCCGATGCGAGAACTGAAATTTCTTGGACCATCAATTGTTTAGCTGTTTAAAGGAATTTGCTCTGTCGTCAAAAAACATAATTACTGATACTTAATCACATCCATTTATATGTGACTGACTGCCTACACTGATAATTCTAACTGCTTACCAAATCAGGAGCCGTTCTGAAGCTGCTTTTTGACTTTCACAAAGCATTCAGCTAAGGCTTTTACTTTTCAGACTTGATGGGAAAATGATAATCATCTTTAGACTTCATTTTTCTTTCACCTTTGTTCTGTTGTTAATCTTCCAATTAAAAAACAAACAACAAAAATTTAAGTAAAATACAATCTTTTCCTTTTTCTGCTCTATTCGTTTAGAGAAAAGACTAAAATGATTTCTCATTTACTGTGTTGAATATCATCTTGATGAATTAGATGACCATTTGCACTGAATGGTCAGGCAATATATACCTCTCTAATGAGCACAAGATTTTAAATTGGAGAATAAAATGTGTTAATTTCTGCTATAGAGTCAGAAGCTCCTAGCATTTCTAGCTTAAAAATGAAAATACTTAGAGGCATCTAAGAAAATGAGCATATACTTAAATTATTTTGGTAGCATATTAGTATTTTTAATAAGTTATTAACTTTAGAAATGTCATAACATTTGAGAGAAAACAGGTGTATAATCTGTAGCTAGTTATTTCCAAGGTTTCAATCCTTTTGAATAAAAGAAGGGAAGGACCTCTCCCCTCCTTACCCACCCCTCCCCCAAGTTGCTGATACATGTTTGAAGTTAAAACTGATTTTTGGCCAAAAAAATGCATTTTGGGTATACTGTTTTCTTTAAAGGAAGACTGAGATTTCTAATAGAAAAGTGGTAGATAATAAAAAGAAACCCCAAACTTTGTAATAACTAAAAAAACCCCAACAAAATCCTCCCCTCCCCAAACCAAAACATTAGTTAACTTTTAAGCGTAGTGAAACTAATATTAAGATTTTTCTAAGCAAGTTTTTGTCCTTGAACTGAATTATGATGCTACTAGCACCATTGGTCTTATGATTTGAAAGCTGTCTGGAAGTATCTGGAGCAGAAGAGCTATTAGACCTGCTTTTATTTTTTGTCCTCATATGTAGAAAGTACACGTGTTTGGCAGATAAAGATGGCTGTAACAGAATCAGAGTATCGAGAGAAATTTTCTTATGCATTATCAAGTTACCAATAATAATTTTGTTTAGTGGGTTTTTTTTTTCCTTTTTCTATTTCTCTCTCCCTCTCTCTCTCTTTTTTTTTTTTTTTTTTTAAATCCTGGAGTTTCTCAAGTATAAATGACCACCTCCCTGCTTCTGAATTGCTGAGCCTCAGAAGTACTTAAAAAGAATGGTTCCCAGTTTGGGAATTAAGACCTTCAAATGGCATATTTTACCTTGGTTAGGAACTTTATTCTAATCATATAAGCATTGTATATCAACAATATAAGACTATTGTACATCAACAGCAATCTATATTAGTAGAATGTATTATTTCAGTGCATTTCAAGCCTGGAATAACTTTGTGAGTGGCTGTGGTCACAAATGTTGGTCAGCTGGCCTTTAAATTGAATGCTTTGAAATTTGTGTAAAAAGCTATGTGTGTTTAGTCATCCCAAGGCTAGTCTGAGCAGCAGTAACTTCATATTCTCTCCTTTTTTTTTTTTTTTTTTTGTAATGCTTGACTTTTCAGAGGCTTTGGTTATGCTGTATTTAGCACAGCCTTTAGGTTCTCATCTGTTTCTTAGTAAAACCAGCTTTACGTTTGTGTGCTTTTGTGCCCTAGTGTCATAAGCTGTAAATAAATTATTGCCGTTGTGGCAAGGTTGAACGTTTTGTAATGGTTGCTTTTTTCCTTATGCCTTCGTTATATCATAAAGAAAACAATAATAAAATTAATTGCTGTCCTGCTTAAGTATAAGTCATAATTTAAATATCATTGTAGAATTGTGAGGGAAGAAGATAATGAATTTCTGATCTAACATTTCACATGGTCCAGGAGTGCATTTATTTAGACTTTATATGCTGAATTAATTAAAAACAAAACAACAACAAAAAAACCCCAACACCCCAAAAAACTCAGAACCTCCCAAAACCCCAACACCTTGTGTTTGACTTCAGTTATTCTCTAGACTTTTTCCTTGACTCTGTTCTTATGCAGCCTGGCAGGACTACTGTTTTTTGTTTTGTTTTCTTTGCAGCTTAAAATAAGTTCCCAGTTGAAAATTTTCTTTCTTCTTGTTTAAACATATGCAATCAGTAGGTAGTTACTACACTTACTACATCAGTTTCTTCCTGGTTTGTGTTTTTGTGGCTTATGCCACAATGCAATGGCCTAAATGTATCTCTAAAGAGTTTTTCTTCGTTGTCTTGAAGTAAAAGAATCTTTGTATAAATGCAGCTTATGTATGTACCCCTCTTTCTGTGTACTAATGTTTATGATCTTAGGTAGCATGCAACCAAGGTTCTTCTCATGCTGCAGGCTGTGTAGTATAGACTGTGCTATATAGATCTGCTATGTGATAAGACTATATCAAGCCTGATAATATAAGACTGGGAAACTTCATACTTAGTATTGTGTCAGTTATTTTGAGCAGCATGCTACACTGTGAAAGAGCACTGTACTAGGAAAATAAACAGTGAGAATTATCACATATTGTCATTTTATAACTTGCTGTGAAGTATTTTCTAGGGGCAGGGGAAAGATTACTTGTTCTAGCTGGTCTTTCTTTTTCTATTTTAGGGGTTTTGTGGTTACTCTTTTATTTGGAAAAAGCAACTCAGAAAAATACCTTGAGCAGTGTGAACATTCGTTTCTTCCTTGTACATCAGTTGGGATCCCTAAGGTAAGGAGAGTTTACTGGTCTTAACTTCTAGATCAGATTTTATAATTTTGAAAACTAGAATAACACTAATCATCAATTTCAATCTAAGAATTGTACCCATTTCCCAAGGTAAAAGAGCCTTCTCTTACGTTTTGAGTCAGCTGCAATGTGCAAGTGAAATGCAAAATTTTTCCTTTCTGAAATACAAGCTTTTTAAGCATTTATGGGAAGTTTGTTTCGAGTATTGTTTCTGGCTTCATTATGAGAAATGAGTAAGATGTAACTGGCTAATATGATCTGTGAGGGAATTACTAAGCCATTCCTTTCTAGACTACTTGTGTGTGTTGGTTTTTGGGGGAGGGAGTGGTAGCTCTTTCTTGCTTTTTATTGGAAGATTGTCATGACTAGTTAGGATTCTTCCATCACTGGATCTATAGTCTCTCCAGTCATGAGTCTTTTGATTGATTGTGTTGCTTGCCTAACTAAGAAGATAAAACTGTTAATTAAGTCTAGATTTACAGTACTTCAGGGATGCAGAAGTTATCTTTGACTGTCTTTAAGACCAAACAAAAATTCTGGAAATGCATACATAAATGTGGAGCAGCAGCAAGATCCCCTTTTCAACTCTTCTTTTTTTCGGAATTGTTAACAGATACATCATTTTGGTTGATGGACCTAAATTCAGGGTTCCTAATTGGATAAATCTGCATCTGTTTAGTACAGAATAAATTCTTAATAGCCAAGAGGTAGAATTTCTAGGAATTCCTGGTTTATGAACCAATACCTCTTGGCAGCTCAGAAATTTATATATATCTTGGCCTAATCCATTTGCACTCATGAGAATAGAGAAAACACTTTAACCCAAAGATTGCTAGTTATGTTATATTTAATCTCGCAGCTGTTTTGACTGAAACGTCCTGCCCTTTCTTAGCTGCCAGGTCACTACGCTTCATGTTGTCTGTGAAAGGGGCGGGGTGTGTGTTCAACTTCCTTATCAGTAGCACATAGAAAGACGTTTATTTTGTGATTCAGCAGTATGTTTTCTAATCACAAAACTTTTTTTGTGACTGGTTCCTATCTCAGTAAGTGGCCTTTTCACTTAAGTCTTTGAATCTGTTGAGATAAATCTGGAATTTAAGTATATTCTAAACCATAAGGTAATGTCACTGGTGCAAATGAAACGTATGAAGTTTAAGGCTAAAAACGGACAAGTCAGCAATCAACGAATGATTCTGTTTTGTTAATGAAACCTCGTTTTAGGGGACTAAGGTTCTTGGTGATATATAGTCTTTAGTGCTTATAGTATATGGATTGTGGAGCGTTGCTTATGTCTTGTGTTTTGAGAGCAGATTTACAAGAAGTTTTTGTGTCTTTTAGATTTCCTCTACATTGTTGAAACATTTTTTACATTAACGTTACTTCTTTGAGCTCAGTACATATGTATGCTCTGGTTGCTTTATAAAAGAATAAAATGTTATGGGTTTTTTTTCCGTAACCCTTGCAAATTCAGTAGTTTGGCTTCTGATTTGAGTGTGGATTATTGACACATCACTTTTGACTAATCTCTGGATTTAAGTTTTGTAGTACGAAGGTATTTATTGTTAGCTGGCTTACCAAATGCTGTTTGAAGTTGTTCTCCAACTAAAATCTGTTTGTCTTCTACAATAGTGTTTTGTATTTCTTTTTTGCCACTGTATTAAAATAGCATTAGCTAGTTTAGCTGAGCTTTTCAGTAGCAGTGCAAGAAGAGATGAGTCCTAACCAAAACTAAATGTGTGGTTTGCTTGGGATTCCTATTTGCCATTTCCATATTAAATTTCTGCTGACTTACCTTTATTGGAAAGTAATATTTTTACCTTGAATTGTTTTCATGTTTAAAACCATTGTGTCCCTAAGTGGTCTTGAACAATGAGTATTCTTTCAAGTGGCTAGTGTATAGGTTATGCTTCTTCCATGAATGAAGTACAAACTGAATTCACCTCAACATTAACTTCTTCCGTGATACTGTATTTTGAGAAGTAATCTGATGATATATGCTCTTTATAAGAGAAGCTCTTCCCCAAAGACAGTCAGAGTTTTATCGATTGTTTTGGGGGTTTTTTGTTGTTTGGGGATTTTTTTTTTTAGGCTGAGATGAAGGTTTAAATGCTTAATTTTAAATAAATTAGTTATAATTCAGAGCACCAAAACTGTGGATGGAAATAATGGATAGAATGTACCAGAGTCTAAGTTACAACACAGGATTTGGTGCAGATGGGTTTCCTTGGTTGCCGCTTATTATACTTATTAGCGAATATATCTTGAATGCCTTACATTAAGGAGAAATAGTTATGTACATTTGATGGAAGATTATTTACCTTTCTGCTTTTTTGTTTGTATACACCCAGGGAGGTTTAAAAATTAGGATTAGAATTGTTTTTCCTTTTGCAAATCTGTTTTATATAAATTTTGTGTCAGGAATATACTCGATGATGCCATAATGTACTGGCTCTGTAAGATACACAATTGTCTTCAGGTTTATATTAAAATAATGTTGAATGAAAGGCAAGTTTAGAGCCTTCTGAACTGTTAACTGGAATGCCATTTTCAATAAAAAAATAGAGATTCTGTCCAACTTTAACAGAAGTGTGGGAAGTCCGTTTATTATCATAATTGATGACCCTTACGCTTAATCCAAAAGACAAGGAGTTTCTGTAGGCTGGGTACAATATTGCCAAATTACTGTAAGATAAGTTGTCATTGTTACAAGTGCTAGTTGCATGTTTGATCCCTGACTGGTCTCTGAATCTCTTTGAGTCAGTTGGTCATATGCTATGTTACGGATTTGACACAGACATGAAATCCCGTGTATCTTGTCCACTCATGAAAGCCTGTGTCCGCAAGTACGTGATTTGGGAAATAGTGGCATTTCTCATATTTGACAGTTACCTAGCATAGTTTCAAAAAAGGACTTTAAAAATATCTATTAGTGCAGTGAAGCAAAAGTCTGAAGTCTACTCAGTCACTGTAATTATGTGCTTCTGGATCCTGGATTTCTTTACTCAGTGCTGCATCTCACTTTGTTGAGTGTATGTCCCACGTTCTTCATAAGCGCTTCCTACCTATTTAAAATGAAGTAAGTAGGTGTCAAATTTAACAGTAACAAGTGATATTAATTTTTCCTAACCAATGATTTAATACTGGTAGAGTATGTCAGACTAATATTGTGTATGAAGTGACGGTTAAATAGGACAATTTTCTTCATGTGAGTTGGGTCCTTCCTTTAAGTCCGTCTTCGAAGTCAGTGTCTGGAAGGCCGGGCTTAAAACCAGCAATGCTTTCCAAGTGAGAACTACGGTCAGCTGTTGTAGCTGCAATGAAATAAAAGCAGATATTTTAAATTTTAAATGTCTTCAGACATATCAAAAGTGAATGAAATTACACTGCATGTGCATAAACATTTCATTGGAGAAAAAACATGTAAAAGAATGGTCTAACCTTGTAGTTGGCTCTGCTTTGAGCAGGAGGTTGGACAAGATGACTTCCTGAAGTCCAGACCCAAACCTGAATCCTATGAGCCTATGAACATTCAGATTTTTACCAAGTAACCTTGCCTGTTCTCTGTGTCCCTCTCTTTCTTCTGGCTGCTGCTTTTTTTGCTGCCGCTTTTGCTTCTGTGTTTTCCAAATGTGGTTTTATGCATGCAGTCCTGAAACTTCAAACCTCTCTTTTAACCATTTTGTTTGGCAATGTGGACTATGCTGTGCTTAGTAAAAATATTTAATCATTCCATTCTGGGTTTTTTTTTTGTATTTTCGACACTGTCAAGACAAAAGTATTTTGCAAATTTGTTACTATATAGCTGGAGTTTTGTTGAATATGAGTCAACTTTATTCATATTAAAGTAGCATTGAACCATTCCCTTGTCTTAAAAGTTAAAAAATATACAGAATTTTGCAGCAAAATACTTTTGTGTTGTGATACAGAGTTGGCTAAGTAGGAGGAGGAGCATTTTCTGGCCTCAGGTGTTTCTTCTGCCATTCACTGTTAAATGGTTTGAATGAGAGATACTTAGGGAGAGTCATGTAGAATAGAAACACTGGACATAAGGTTTATAATTTTTTCATTGATGGTTTTTGGAAGTTTTTCTCTGTTTCTGATAGTTATAACTTTCTCTCTAGATCAAAGAATAAAATAACTTGATTTTTTTTTTTAACAATAGTGTAGGTTTTGGAGTTGTTATTTCTGTGAAAATAAAGGAGTTTATTGCAGATTTCATCTTAAATTTGTAAAGACACTGTATTAATTCACTTGGAGAAGCACTGATAAAGGGTGTTCTTTTTCAGTATGTCACTTGCCAAAAGTCAGCTCTGAGGAAGTCATTCCTGGAGTTAACTGCTCTGAGTTGCAAGTCGTTCTATAAAATAATTTTTTACCCCCTCATCAATTACTTTTTAAAGACTTCTGCCAAGTAGCGATGATTAAAAAAGAGTAATTTGTCTTCTGGCATATAGAATAAACTGAGGTGGATAAAGACCTTCAGAGAAAAAAACCCCAACTGAACAACTACCTGCCTGAGGTTGCACAAGAAGTTCATAATCAAGTATGGAACTGGGGTCTTACCCACAAACTATCTTGTGCTGCTGTCGTGTCTCCCCTTCCCTCCTTTTATAACTATTTGAGTTTTATTTCCTTTTTATCTAGTATTTTAGCAAACTTGCTCCTTTGCAGTAAGCAAGTAGTAGGTTTTCAGGTTAGTTCCTCACCATTATTTACTATATAGTGAAAAATACAGGTATTATTGTTGCCCAGAGAGGTGGTAGATGCCCCATCCCTGGAAACATTCAAGGTCAGGTTGGATGGGGCTCTGAGCAACCTGATCTAGTTGAAGATGTCCCTGCTCATTGCAGGGGGGGTTGGACTAGATGACGTTTAATGGTCCCTTCCAACCCAAACCATTCTATGAATCTATGATTATATCTTATCTACTCTATAAATTATAATAATAGGGAACATGTATAAAGTTGTTACTGGAAGTATACATATAGCATAAACAGTAGAGCTGACTTTTAATTATAGCTAAAACCTGCAAAGTTACATTTCCTAATCTCTTTCAAGTGCATAGAAGAAATGAAACGTGAAGCCAGACCTATTAAGATTGACAGAAGACTGACAGGTGCGAATATAATTGATGAGCCTTTGCAACAGGTAAGTTCTAACCAGGACTATTTAAACTATTTTTATTTCTGTAAGTATTGACTGTGTAACATCTAAGTATTTGAGAGACAAATAGAAGTTGAGAAATTTTATCATATTTGAGAGTGGTAAGTGAAAAAACATTGAGGATGGGCCGGGATATTGGGCAATATTTGAGTCTGTTTTCTGTATATTGTAGTTGCTCAGCATAGCGGTGATGAATGCATGTAAACTAATAATGAAAAAGGAGTTTCAGTATGTGAGTTGTATTGTTTCACTCACAATTTCATAATGATAGGGGGGAGTATGGTTCACTGTGTTAACCTTTTAAGACTGCTGTTGCATTATCAGGCACAAAAAGCTATTTTATATTTTGTCTTTTGTTCATTAGTTATTCTTTCTTTTTTCCTTTCCAATTTCAGGTGATCCAGTTTTCCCTGAGAGACTATGTGCAGTATTGGTATTACACACTAAGTGATGATGAATCGTTTCTTCTGGAAATCAGGCAGGCTCTTCAGTATGCACTTGTTCAGTTTTCTGCCAGGTAAGATTATTTGTATTTACATCAATACACTGTCTAAGCAAGTGGACAAATACTTCTGTGGGTTGTATGGTAGTAGATAAATGATTAAGTTTATCTGTTGGCATAGTTCAGTGCATTTTACAGAAAGAACATGTAAAATTTTAAGATCATAATCTAAGAACTACAGTCTTTTGCTGATCTCATAAGGCATGAACAGAGATGGTGTTTGTAGACATGGCCTTCTGCAAAATGGCCTTTTCAAAATTTTGATTAATGTCTAAAATTACTTAATAGCTGTTTTTCTGCAACTTAAGCATTGAGATGCATGAATCATGACCTTCTTATATGCAGGTCTGTTTCATATAAACAGCAGGGCTATTCCCGGCATAAGTCAATCTGAAAGCCTTTAATTCAAACAACTCTATTGGCTCAGTTAACTTTTAGAAGTGGTCTTGCTGTTCAATATGGAAGAACAGTGAGTATTTTCAAAGGAATAGATATCTGGGGAATGAAATGATATGTCACATATGTAATTCTTTTTCAAAAATGGAGTTATTTTGTTCAGAACAAATGGATAGTTTGTTAATTGTCCCATGTTTTTTCTGCTGTTGCTTAATCAAGTAGCAGGAGGTCAGGTAGCTTGCCTGGGAAATTCTTTATCATCTTTAGTATGGCTGATTTCTTAGCCAAGGTACCATATACCTTTATATCCAACTTCCTTATTAAATATTGATTTAAGGTATTCATCCCACTGTGTTCATTGTTATCTGTTTTCTCTTCAGAAGAGGCTGTGGGTCACCTAAATATAATAAACTTATTAGCAATTTTGAGGTGGTGTTATCCCCTCCCTCTATTGACTTCAAAATGCAGGTCAGTATGCTTTTCTGGCAAGAAAGGTCAGAGGAGGAGAGCTAGGTTTAATGCTAGGAAAAATTCATTATAATAAAATCTTACTGATTATGAAATAATCTAAATCCTAGGAAACAGTGTTGGAAATAGTGAAAACTAGGCTAAATAAACAGTACATTACAGCAAGCAATCCTCTGCTTACATGAAATGGTCCTGGCTGCCCAGCTGTGGTGGTTTCATCTATTTGGTGAAGCTATTTTATTGAACAGTATCAAGCACTGAGTTTGTGCAAAGCAGGTCAAGTTATAGCCAGTTTAATTTTTTTTCCTACAGTACTATAGCTCTTCAGAAATAGCCACTGCTCCTGTTCAGTTGTGGTGTTCTGTACAAATCAAATTGGTTTCACAGGGCTGCAACAGTTGTTTGTTGTTGTTAAGAGAAAATGATCTGGTGTATTTATAATGATTGTAGTTGGATATAGCTGTAGCAGTCTTAGATTAGTGCCATCATCTCTAATTTCATATGCCCTGTGAGCTTCTGGAGAGAATGAGTACAGTGGGATATTTTTTTTTTTTTTTCCTGGAGAGTTGCACATTTGGAAGAATGATGTAAGGCTGCCACCTAGTGTATTTATATGATTCGTTGATTGTGTGGATGGTGGATCTGGATTATTGATGGTTTTGGTTGACTGCACTTTGACACAGCTCTGCTTCTTATTTCCACATCCAGATTTTGCAGTAGGCTTCTTTCTCTTTGAGTTCCTTATCCCTTTCTCTCTTTTTGAGGGGAAAAAAGAGCAGGTGAGGGAATAAACACAAAAAAGGAAGTGTTGTAGAAGGATTCTGCTATAACAAAGCGGGTATCTGAGAGAATTCAGGCAGTGTAATACTTAGTGCAGAGTAAAAGCCATCACTAACATCTAGTTCATTAAACGTGTAACTCATAAGTGCCTTTTTAGTTTGCCTAGTAAGGCATGGACATGACGAGAATATATCTGCATCTTTTTCGTACCACTAATGAAGTGGTTTTATAGAAGTGTAACTGACTATTTTCTGACACAAGTTTATGTGTATTGTTGGAGAGTAACGCTAACAACCTCTCACATAAGCTGTGGAATCAATTGCTGATAATGTTAGGTTGCTTGTAGTTTCAAATGAAACGTGTTTTCTTACTCATGCATATACTGCAAATTCAGAAGAAAATTATTTTGTTTAGGTGCCTTCCAAAATGGTAGAAAGTATGGCTGGAAAAGACCTGGGGAGTATTTTAGTTTTAGGTTGTAGATGCTTGTAGACTGTTTATATCAGGGCTTTTCACAGGTATTTGACAATATCATGAATCAGAACACTATTTCCAGATACTAATGTTGACCTTAAAGTAAATCAAGCATAAATATTAATGTGGTGTGAGAGTGGTGTTTTACAGTATTTTATTTGTTTTCAGTGAATAGGTGATTAGAAGACTGATTTATTTCTTTCCTTTTCCATGTTTACTATCAGTGTGGCTCTTGGCAGGGATGAAGGAGAAGTAGGACTGTATTATTGTTCTTTGTATTCAGGATAAAATAATTCATTTTCATGAATGTCCTTTTCTGATAGGTCAAAGGAAACAGACTGGCAGCCTTATTTCACTACACGACTTGTTGATGACTTTGGCACTCATCTTCGAGTTTTCAGAAAAGCTCAGCAAAGAATAGCAGAGAAGGGTGATCAGATGAAAGGTAACGATTTAAATATTTTTTTTGCTTTGAGTCTGAGTAGGCAGGTATCTTACATGTGTGAAATATAGTTAGCTTATTTTATAATTCAAGTTTATTCTCAAGTTTCTGATCTTTACAAAAAAGTATGTTTCTTTTTATTTTCTTTTGTATAGACCATGCTGAGGAACTTGTAGATACATTCTTTGAGGTTGAAGTTGAAATGGAAAAAGAAGTCTGTCGTGATCTAGTGTGCACTTCTCCCAAAGATGAAGAAGGTCTCTCAATATTATCTTCTGAAGTTATTTTAGTATAGCAGACTAAATTAAAATACTAACAATTGTGTTAACAGTATGACATATACTGAAATATTAGCATGTGACTTTCAAAGCTATACTATAATTATGTACATATGTAGCTCATTGGAAGAATTTTAAGATGGAAATATGTTTTCTGGGAGGCAGGGGATGGCTTTGTAGATTCTTACTGCTTTTTGTTAGATCTGCCTTCCTTATCACTACTCCACAGTCTTCATGAAAAAATAAGATTATCTTTTTGGGCAAAGTGTGAAGGAGGGGGAAAAAACCCCTATATATGTTAAATAAGGAAAATACATTTGAGTTAGTTTTTCGGTTCTTGGAATTTGGCTTCCTTTTGTCTTGGTTTTGAGACTCTAGATCTGTCTCAGGTTTATATCAGTGTTTCTTATATTCTGTCTGAAAGGTGTTACTGTGATGCTTGGACTATAAGAATATATGACTGTGTATTTGAATTTCATTTTAAGGATTTATCTGTTTGTTTTTATGATATCACATAAGATGTGAAATAACATAATACAAAATTGTGCTGAGTTTTGTTTGGTTTTTATGGTGGGTTTTTTTTTTGTTGTTTTTTTTTTTTGTTTGTTTGTTTTCCCCCCATAGGATTCCTAAGGGATCTATGTGAGGTTTTACTGTATATATTGCTACCTCCTGGAGACTTCCAGAACAAGATCATGCGATACTTTGTCAGGGTAAGTACGGATTGTAAAAGCCATCCCAATTCTTTGGTTTAATGCCATCAAAAATTTTAGATCTGAGCTGCTCTTCTTATTTTATTTTGTAGAATTGATCTAATTTAATATTAGGTTATTTTAAATGCAGTACAACCTGGAAAGGTATTTAATAGCAGAGAACAGTTTGTATGAAATGTTTTCAAAGTTTCTTTTAGCTCTAGCAACATTAGAAAAGCATTGATAAAATGGAGGTTGTTCTTCTTGAGATATTAACATCTTCTAATTTTAATTGGAATGGAATGTGCCAGTGCCTTTTGAATGTTTTCTGTAATTACACGTTTTTATTTAGCCTCTACACAGTGATTTTTAAATTGTTGCAGTTGTATTAGCTTTATGAATATATGTATAAAAATGATATTTTGTTTTTCAGGAAATCCTCTCCCGAGGAATTCTTCTTCCATTAATAAACCAGCTCAGTGATCCTGATTATATTAATCAGTATGTCATATGGATGGTAAGATTTATAATGTTTAAAAGGAATGGAATTTCTAGAATATGTTCATATGAAGCTTAACTTGTGTTTCCTGTAATCATGGCAGATAGATATCTGGTAGAAAAGTTACAATGGATATATTGGCAGAGATAGTGAACTTACAGCTGCTGTACTAAA